TAGATCAGGTATACTGAAAATCAATCAATTCGCTCAAAAATTTTATATTAAACTGTCTGAAATCAATTGACTGAAACTGAGTACAGTACTTTTTATGATTAAAGATCAATCTTACTGATACACATTAAAATAATAAAAATCTAAGTTCATGTTCTTCTAATTACACATACAATTCTATTTGTGTTTAAAAATTAATCTCACTGAAATGAATGCGATTCAACTTTGTACTGTTTAGAGCATGTACTTAACAATTTATCACTAAGCTTATACCACAAATATCCTTTCGAATAAATATTTAATTTAAGTACTACTTGTTGTTGAAATTATATATATATATATATATATATATATATATATATATATATATATATATATATATATATATATATATATATATATATATATATACAACCTTATCACTTGGCGCACTCATCTTATATAATATTTTACGTTGGACTCAAACATTTATTATTTGACATTCTGATCCCATCAAGCAACAATTCAAATCTATCGATACTTTTGATACATAAAAGTTTTCGAAAACTAATTCAAATAAATAATACATATTTGAGTATAGCTAATTATCAACTACGCTTATCTTCTCGTACATGATTCTTTGAGTTTCATAAATTTATTTAGTAAACAGATCTTTCCTAAAAGTAACTTCTCTTAATATACTCTCTATCATTGTCTTATAAAATTATAATAAAAATGGAACAACTTATCTAATTCTTCTTTTAAACTAATCCATGAGATAAATACCCATGTCAGTATAAGTTTTAGAACGTTTTTTGATGTACATTCACGCTAATCAGATTTAAGTTATTTTCCGAACAATAAGTGTATGTTGAGATGGTCAGGGAGGAATCGAAGGAGTAGGCATTGAATTATCATTTCTGATGTACAGGTATACATTTCTGTGTTATGCAAGGAAAGGATCAGGTATGTCACAAATGTTGATGATGACTGTACTTTTCGTAGGATATTAGTTGTATCAGTGTTTATTTTTCATTTTAAACGAATGTGGACTCTATTACAAACAATTGCATTAGGTAGAAGGACAGCCTAGATGGGATTCGCTGGATTTGAAAATGAAGTTATTGGCGTGTATTTAGTAAGACGTGATGTTTTTTAGTTAAGAATTAGAATAGCAGTCCTTGCTAGCTAAGTGACGAGTTAGGAAGCGCTATTGTTGTTGGTAACAATGTAAATTTCTGATTTTTTCTTTCCTGTGATTGTGTTGTATAACAGGGTGAGTTGTACACGTCAGGTGATGCTGATAGGAGCGATCATTAAATCATGTTTATCTGATGATCGTTGGTATGCAAATGTCTGTTGTATTCGGTGGAAAGGTGTTCTGTTCAGTTTATCAGTTGATCGACAATCAATTTTTTAATACTTTGATAAGAAAGATTATTTCTGTGAATTTGACTTTGGTTAGCAGCGTAGATTAGAAGCTTGTTTTCAAAAAAGTAACACTTACCATCGTTAATAAAAATTTACATTCTAATCAAAAGAAATTATTCGAATAAGACCGATACCTTTAAATCATAGAGTTGTAATAAACATCAGTTTTTCATCTAAACCCAAAGTGGGTAAATAAATTTTTAGTATAAAAGTACACTACTTAATGAACACTAGTAGCACAACAACATTCTAAAAAAGTAATTTCCATGAAGAGGCACAAATAATCGAACTAAGAATAAAGACATTTTAGCGAAAAAAACCTTTTTCCTATGATATCGTTCACTCAAACTGCACAGTCGTTTTCATAGAAAACTAACAAATGACTTAGCCCTATTGAAAAATGGAAGGACGATTACATTATATCGCATGTCAAAGAACAGAAATTATCAATTTACATTAACTTCATTGACTATGAGTAGCATTTAATAGCGTAGATAGAAGATTGCGAAGCCATCTTCTACACTAATGTGCGTAATAAAACTTCCAGCATCATACGAAGTTATTGTGATGAACCACGCTGAAAAACCCTTCATGGACAACAGCTCACAGAATCATTCCGAATGAAGACCGGTGTCGAAGAAGACTGTTTGCTTTTACCCTTTTCTCTGGTGGCTGACTGCATTAAGGGGGGGGGGGTATGGAAGACAGTGGATAGCTCATATGCAGCTAGACCATTGAGACCTCACAGATTATCTGACTCTCCTATCAAACACATACATTACGGAAGTTATCCAACTGCGTCGAAGGCAAGCCGTCACATGGACCAAAAGAAAAGGAATTGAAGGCAGATATCGGAAGAATGAATAGCACTTGGGAACAATTTAAAAGGAGAACCCTGGACAGATTTAGTTCGGGATCGCTAGTCGTCAGGTTATGCTCCACAAGCGATAACAGGAGCAAATCGTTTGATTGCGTAGATTTATTTTAAACAATTTATCCTATCGGTCCATGTGATCAGAGTTCATACAATGTATAAATTATTGATTGTTTTATATTCCAATTTCAAAAGCCAACAAATAGTGAATGGATGTGCTTAGAAAGCACTAGCTTATGTGGCCAATGTAACCTGCTCCATAATAGCAAGTAAACTTATGAGTACACGTTAATGTGGCCCAATACAGGCGTTTATTTTTGACACATCCAGGAGTGACAGATGGGGTGATCGGAAAAGATGATGTGAAGCTTGGTTTGTATATGCTTACCAATGGAAATGGAGAAATGTGGACTTGTAGCAATATTGAACGTCTACATAAACTCAGAAGCTTTAGGTGCAATTAATTGCAGTTGTCCAAAAATAATTATCAAACCATTAAGTGAGTGATTTTGATCTGACCAGATCTCCACAAATTGCTTGGTTGATTATACTAACCTATTGTAGGACTTTTTCACGTTGCTTACTTTATATGCTACACTGTTGCTCAACTGTAATTTTCTGAAATCTATACTCTACATTTAGCCAAAATAACCACATATCCAGGGCAAAATGAAATCACCCTATGAAACAAACACCCTTTGTAGTCGCCTTAATATTCTGAATCGACATTTTTCCGAACATGTCACAAATTTCCGTTGTAAATTGGTTTTAATTAACTAATTATGTCCGTCTGCCAAGCTATCACAAGTCTAATTACACCGAAACTCAAATAATATATTCTCGATGATTCATAGATTTTTTTCAGTTATTTGAAGAAATAACGTACAACAAATTCGAATTTCATAGATCAACTTTTTAAGCAAATATAGTCAATGTAATGGAGGTGAGTTAGATCGTAAATATCTCTAGATAAATATGAATTGCAGCTAACCACTGTTCATAAACTTTTTGCATTTATTTTTTCAATATTCATAAGTTAAATGCTTATAAAGATAACAGTTTAGTGTTGAAAATCCCTTACTGCATTCAAACATGTGATATTAGATAGAGTGAGTATTATTATTCGTTTGCTTTTAGCTACAAATGGTTCATAGTATGAGAGTAATTACACAAACTGGAATGTCCTAAAAAATGTGAACATTGTTTAAGTTTAATAAAATGAAGCTATACACAGACTTTACATTCTTTTAGTTGCTGAATAATAAGGTAACAAGTTGACCATGTGGACAAACTGAGACACTTAATCCATCAGTGAGTAATTTACATTGATTTTTTCAATAGAACAATATAATTCCTAAAAACAGTAAATAAATTTCCATAATCCACGAAAATAAGTATTATGAACTGTGTTTCTTAAAGATAGACTTTAGATAGACAACAAGACGAACTGTCAAAGTAGATACTTGATTATATTAACTGATTGATGCATTTGGATTAGGAAAAACATTATTTATTATTTACAGGTATAAATTTCTGACAGATGTAAAAACTTACTGAGTAAAGCAAAAAAGTAAAGTAATTACTGAATATCACTCCAACCTATCTCATCCATAGAGTTCGGAAAACACATAAACATATAACTGTTTCTCCTTAAAAACGGAATGATAAGAAACGAATTCGATTCTGATTGTTACATATTTCCATATAATTTAGTTTTTGAAAAGATAACACTGATTACTCTTTAGTAATCAATGTTATACGTCTCGAGTTCATAGTGCTGATTGAATTCTGCTGATGAAGTTGTAGTGTTATACCAGATAATCAAGTCAGTATCCTTCAACGTGAACAGTTCAATTGTCAAGTCTCTGTGACATAAGCGAACCCTGGCGCTTGAATTCCAAAGAGAATATTAGTTTGCCTAAATATTGCAGACACATATTGTTGACAATCGACAATTAGTAAGAAACTTAAACTTCGGGTTTCCTAATCGCTCGCTTGAATAGTCTAACATAGTAAAAACTATAATTAAAACAGTAATGAGATACAGTTACGAACTCACAACTCCTCAATTTCAAGAAACAACTTTTTACTCAACACTGAGTATAATTATGAAAGAAGCTAATTAAAAATTTGTTAATTCATTATATTCTAAATTTAAAATGTATAATCCACATGTTAGTTCTATAGGAAAAATGAATGATACAAAGCATTATATCATTAGTTAACTATTTTCACAATGAAATTTTCAAAAAAAAGAACTGATCAGTTGCGTTCTTTTTCACAAATAACACAGCGCAATTTAGAATGTTCAAATAAACACAGAATATAAATAAGTAACATTTGGTGTTAATTGAAACTTTCTTTTCTGCATTAAAAAAAGATCACTTAGATACGATTTACTTTTTTTCTGAAAAAAAAGGATGTACACAGTCTGTGTTCATTTATGTAAATGAACATATTAACCAATAGTTATCAACAATCTCTTCAATACAATACAAATCAATGAGTTATTTATTGAAAACAAATAAACCGGATCACCAGACAATTAAAATCTTTTCGTTGAAAAAAGAAGAGGTTAAGATAAAGTGCAGACACGAACTGTTTAAAAAATCAAAGGCTATTTTCATTATTCATATGATATTCATTTAACATAAGATAATAATATTTATGATAAGAAAAAAGATAATAAATTTCATGACAATAATATGAACAAGGAAATTTATGAAGAGTTGGCCATTTGTTTGACAGCCACATCATACACTGTAGTATCATCTTCATCACTATCTTCATCGGAATGATTACCGCTGATGGTATCACTATTGCTATTCTCATCAGAAACATTAGAAATATTGTGTAAAAATGAATTTCCATTGATATTCACACTACTCAAGCATTCATCAATACCTGGTAAATGAAGTGAACTGGAATCATCATCAAGAAAATGAAATCGACCTGATTGACCAATTGATAATGAAGATGATCCATATTGTATAGAGTCTTTATTTGGTAAAGTCACCGGTGGAAGATGAACACAATCACTGGAATTAGTGTCAGGACAACAATCAGATGATATCATTAACATTTCTCGAAGACCAGCATTTTCAGATCTTAATCGATGTAATTCTTCTTCTAATTCTGCAGCATACATATCACCACGATCAGTAACTTCACGGACAATAGAAGCTACAGTTGTAATTTGTTCAGTTAATGATTGAGTTAAATTATCTGTTTTCTCGTCAACTTTACTTGAATTTGGTTTTTTTGATACAGATTGTGAATCCATAGAATTTGTTGGACGTGCATTAACTGTTTTCGGATCCGGACCTGAAGATTTTATGCATCGATTTTGGTTAGTATCAGGATTGATAACTGACTGAACAAGATGTTCTACTTGATAGGTTCTCATCAGTTTGGAAATCTGGAAAATATAAATGGAATATTCGGTTGATTTATGCGATAGAGGTAATAATTATCACAGCTTACTTTTCAAAAATATGATGACATGTGATATTAATATGAAAGTACAAAATATTGTTACATCAAACCAAATAAGAACCAAAATAGCCGTTTTATGATTAATTTTACAAAGCAATTTTTAAAAAAATTTGCAAAATAATGTAAGCAAACTTTAGGAAAAATTCAATCTTATAAATACAACTAACTTGTCCACGATATTTAGTCATAATCATATCTATAGCCGTTTGATGTTCATCAAGAGAATTTCTTAGTGTTTTATTTTCAATTTTCAATTGTTCTAATTGTTTATTCTCAGCTGCAAGACAAATAATCAATGGACCTTTTGGTTGGTTAGAGACTCGTTTAGAGAATTCATCAAATTCTAGAATTGCTTCTTGACACTAAAACAAGGAAGAAGAAATAAGATGACCAACAACAATGATAAACATGATAACAATGATGATGAAATCCAACATATCACAATCTCGTTAATATCATAGGATACCATCTTTGTCAGCATAAATTAACGTGACTAATGACAATGATACAGTTGATCAAGATTAAGGGAAATAATTAGGCAAGATCGCACACTCTTATTCCATCAGACACTAAGTTTATGAATCCTGAGCTAAAAAGTACCCATTAATACTAATAAAGATATAGCGCTCATATGAGATTCACTACAATTGATTACAATAGTTCTACAGTGTTATTATAAAAATAAGATATAACCGAAAACAATACAAGGTAAATAATATGTAACGCAAAACTTTTTATTGAACAATATGATTAGATAAATACTACTCACAAAATATCAATCAGAATAATAATTTTACTCAAGAATTAATTAAACAACAATTATACAATTATTTAAATGAAACAATACATTATATATCAAAATAATGATCAAAAAATTAATTTGATATTAACAAATGTGTCAATCACCTGTCGCATACTCAATAATTGTGCTTGTAATTTGCACAACTGTTGTCTTAATACATCGACCGACTCTTCACGTGCACGCAACCGAGATACAAGTAGTTGAACATCATCCATAACTTTATCGAAATTGTACTTTAACATGAAATCGAGAGTCTAAAAATAATAACAATAATATTCATGATAACAACTGGTAAACCAATATTAAGTAATCAGTATTTGCTTTAATAAGATAAATAAAACAGTTATTTTAATGTTAAGAAAAATTTCCAACCAAGAAATATAACCTTGAAAACCGACAGTTCACTTAACGAATTGAATAAAAAGCATAACTGACAATTTGAAATGTAACTAAGAAATTAAAACTTATGATATGTTGCTTCAACGACAAAATATTCACATTTATATTAAAATACCTTTATCTGTTGATCGAAATTTTTATTTTCAGATTCAATAAAATAATCATGCAAACTATTCATAATGTGTTTAGCAGAAAAAGAATAAACACAACAGATTTCACGATAATAACGAATGTTTCATTAAAATTCTATTCAGCATTGGATTATTCATTATGCTTTAGAATAAAGTAAATTATGAAGTAGAGGAGATTTTCAAGGCTGAAAATCATAAATCTCTTCATTGTTTTATTAAAATTCAAAAATTTAGAACTTTTAATTTTCACACTAAATGATCACAAAAAAAAACACTTAATGTGTTTGCGAAAGTGAATGATATTTCTAACCCAAACACACAAAGATCTATATTTCATTTTCCAAGTTCAATACTAATTATAGGTCATTTTCGATTATTTTTCTTTTAATAGATTTTCATTTGTATTTTTTGAACAAATAAACAATAAGTTTCTCATCACAACAAATAATAATAAATACATAAACATTTTATACACCAATACGACTTTCAAAATAACCAGGAACCGGCATACACAAAAAATATTCATTGAATTGAAATAATAAATACAACAAAAGATAATTATGAGTAAAATAAAAAAAAATTTATTTCACAAATAGCATATAAATCACATGTAGTGAGTATAAATATGTACAGAATATTGTTGATTGTCGTCTTTTCATGAGATTTTCATCATAGAATAGCAAATTGTTGATAGAGAATTCGACGAACTTCAAAATATGTACCGCATAATAAACCTTCTAGTAATAATTTACCAGCTTCTGATCGTTTAATTGCTACACAATTATCTACCACTAACATACCACTGACAAATTCTGCCATTAAACCTTGTGATAGCAAAAGTTGTTTCAACTAGTTATACAAAACAAGAAAAATACACAGTAATTAGTTGACACAAATTTTTATTAAATTGTTAACAATTCAAAATACACTACTCAGTAATAAATTGAAATGTTTTTTTTCAGACATATTTACGTTCATCTACTTAATAAATGAACAGATTGAACAATCCTAACGTGTTAAATTTATAGTTGCTCATTTAAACTCAAACAGTAGATGAGTCAAGTCAATAAATTCATTGATAAGTGTTTATTACGATTACTAGATCAATTTACAAGTGTACTTATTTCGACAAACTACTACTACCAGTGAATAAATCAATTCCGAATTTCAAGGTGTTTAAAAATTTTTGAAATGTTGGCCATCCTAGAAAAATAGTACAATCGTCTATACCAATCATATTTTAAAAATGACAGACTTGAATTATGAGTAAAGAACGTATATTTTGTATTAATTAGTTCGTTATACGAAATGACCAGTTTAATTGTTATTCGACACAACATTTGTAAAACGCTAAACAGTGATGAAATTTTCGGTTTCTCTGTAAATGCACAATCACTTCATTCTGACAAATAATTATGATCGGTTCTCCACAGAAAACTATTAATGTCTACATGTATTACCACTGAGTGATTTGTTAGGTTGATTATTGATTAGATGACTGGCTAGATCTTACTACATAAAGCTAAAGTCCTGACGGTCTGGCCAAACTTCAGACTACTAACCATCTTAAGTAAGAATGCTAGTATGTTCGGGATGCGATCCTCTCCCTCCAAAAACAAAATGTTGCTTCAGAATTGGTTCGCATCAGCACTTGGATTAGTGATACACAGTGAAGTCTGCTGCTGCAATGATCTTAGGAGTCTCATCAGTACTAATAGTTTGGTATCTTGTGAAATCTCGGCACCGATACCTAAGGCTTGATCAGCTTTTGCCAACTTGCGCCAATTGTAGTGTAGGCAGGATATCCGTCTACCAACTAAAGGACGAGTTAACTGTACAGTAGTTCACTCTATTCTACTTTACGGGTGTGAAATATAACTATTAAGAGAAAAAGATATTCGTTGGTTACTAGTATTCCAGCATGTATCTTTCAACCATTGCTTGTGTATTCTGGGACCACCGAGTAAGCAATGCTCGGGTTAGGAATAGGGTACTAGGTAAGGATGCCAAATTGATTGACGAAGTAGTGAATTTTCATCAGTTAAGATGGTCGAGGCACGCGTCCTGTACATCCAAGCGACAAGCGATGTTGTCTTGAGTAGGAGTAGGCTGGGATACAGTTAGGAACGACCAAGCCAAAACGTGGCACCAGTCCATGAAATCAGTGACAATTAGTTTCAGCCACGTTAATAGGTATAGACCACCTGATAAGGTCCGCGAGACAATCGCAACCAGTGGTTGGGGACTTTAAATGACGACTCAATCGTTTTCAGTGGCGTAAATGCATCCATCCTTTGTCTTCTTCCGAATTTTAGGCTTTTTAATTACTCAATTTTTCTATCGCCCTGATTTATGTAGGGCGGTGGTTGGAGGAGGTCGACAGTAAACTCTGAACCTCGGTTTTTTGCTACTTGGTACTTGTCAGCAAGGTGTACCTGTAGTCTTGATGGACCTGATGCTCTCTGTTGAATTTGATCTCATATCACCCACGTTCGCAATCAAAAACGTTACCACTGAGCTATCGACAGAATTCAATCAGCACTAGGAGGGACCTGAAACATATGGCATTGATCACTATCCAGTGATTAACCAATTGTAAAAAACTGATTTATATATTCGTGAACCGTTTCTTCCATCTCTAATCTTTCGTATTACCACTAACACTGCTACTACCTTTACTACTCTGAAATATAACCTGAACATTCTATCTTCCTATGCTAACGCGGTATGATAACTTGAACTGATGTACGCAAGCACCAGGTTCTACGTTGCAACTAACTGACTAACATATCTCTAGCATTTACCTCTGAAATTCACTGATGAACAGACGATATATACAGTATTTAAACAGTACTCGTTAAATTGATATAGGCTGAACGAAAAATCAGCAACTTACTAAAATTACCCAGTGAAATACCGCAGTACATCAAAAAAAAGAAAAATAACTAAACAACAATTAAAATAAAACGATAAACATACATCAGATAATTTTGGTTCATTGACAAAAACTGTTTTATGATGTCCAATAGGACCGGTAGGAAGACTGAGAACTGGTAATTGATCAGCAGCCAATGGTGTTCGACTCTTCAGTTCCAAATCTAAATTATTCCCAGTGGACATTTCTACATCATTCTTATTATTATCATTATCATCATCAACAATATTATCATTATTTACAATATTATTATTGTTGCTTTTTTTTTCTTTAACACGATAATCAAATTTATCATCGAGCGATACAACTGCTTCAACCCAAGCTAATTCATAATCACGTATTTTTGTGAATTTCAAACTAGAAACTAAACTGTCTTTCATTCTAGCCTATGAAGCATAGATAACGGATATAGACAGAAAATAAATAAATAAATGAATAACGATTGAATAAAATCTTACATGTGTGTAAAAAGAAATTATATTTCATTATCTATCAAAGATTTGGAATGAACTAGACAAATTGAAAGTATGATAAATAGATGCAATTGTTTAATTTATTCAATGCAAAAACTAACACTATGGATAAACCCTGAGTATAGTTAAGATATGTGGTAAAGACACCAAATCGTTTCTATAAATAAAACTGTCTGAATATGAAACAAATCTTGAGTGATTTAGATCAAAATATGGCATCAATATTCATGAAGTAAGTAAATTAAATTGATTTGTAGGAAGAAACTTATAGTTGCTGACTTAAATTAGAAAGACGTTAGGAATTGGTATTTGATTATTTTTACTGACAAGTACTAATATAGAATCCCCAAGAGGTTCAAACAGATTCACACGTTATTGTTTCATCTTAAATACTGAACAGTCACTTATGGCGTAGGCGTGATATCCGTTTGCTGACTAAAGGACGAGTGTACTGTGCAGTAGTTCGTCCCGTCCTACTCTATGGCTGTGAAACATGGTCAGTCAGAGTAGAAGATATTCGTAAGTTACTTGCTTTCGATCATAGGTGTCTCCGAAGCATTGCTCGTGTATTCTGGGACGACCGAGTAAGCAATGCTGTTGTTAGGAAACGGGTGCTAGGTAAGGATGGCAGGTCAATAGATGAAGTAGTGAAACTTCATCAGTTGAGGTGGTTGGGACATGTGTTACGTATGCCTAACCACCGACTGCCTCGACGAGCTATGTTTTGTGGTGTAAGAGTAGGTTGGAAGAAAGTTAGGGGCGGCCAGATCAAAACATTGCAGAAATCCATGAAGTCACTGACAAGTGGACTGAGTAATGTTGGTAGGTGTCGACTACCTGGTTGGGGTCCGTGAGACGAAAGTCACCGATGGTTATAGACCTTGAATGACATGGCTCAAAATTGTTTGCAATGGCACAGGTACATTCATTCTTTGTGTTCCGTCAAATCCTAAGCTTCCGAATTCCTCATCACTTTATCTTTTTCTTTTTACGTTTATTTCACTAGACTCTACTTCTTGAATAATATCTTCGAACCCTAAAATTTACGATTACTGCTAGTACCTTTACTATCCTTACTACTATGGGATTTGAAGTGACAATTACATCTCTGTGCTAATGCGGTGTGGCAACTTGAACTGATTTACGTACGTAAGAAGTTCTACGTTGCTGTTGATTGATTGACTGAAATACTGAACATTTTACTATTTCATGCGTCTCATTTATACAACTGATTGGTAAAATATTGTGCATAAGGGAATATTCTACTCAAACAATAAACTATTCACTTTTTATCTCATACAACAGTGATAACATGCAATGATAAAATAGATCATTTAGCACACCTGATAAATATCTCCTTCTTTTGTACAATTAACAATTTCTTGTGGACGAGGAATATGTATGTAGTTGGGATCTAACATCATAACACCACGACAATAATTTGCCAAATGATCAATAGCCGGTGCATTATTACCAACTAAAATTATTTCCTGTGGTCTCAAACCAATTAAAATGCGTTTCATAGCTTCTCCATCTGATCTACCCTTAAAACAAAACAATGGTAAAGATTGAAAAGAATTTTAAGATACTACTACTGATACCATAAATGGTTTGTTTGGTATTATTGCTATTTCATATGCTTTCTTTTCATAAACGCAAACTTTACTAAGTGTACTTCTGAAAACAAACGTTAGTAAGTATATGAAGTAAACAGAAATATGGGACAATATTCTGTTAGTGATAAGAGTCGAAATGAAAAAGATGATAAAATACGGTTACAACAAAAAGTAGAAAACAAAATTTGCTTTCTAATTTAACGATTGCACTGAGTCGATTCAGTGTCACGCTTGACCCCAAATAGGGAGAATCTGCTTTCCCTCCTCTCCAAATGCTCTCGTATGACCACGCGTGTACAGCCACTGCCATAGAAGGCCTACTCACTGCCTTTTAGTGGCAGTGTTGTTTACAAAATTGAAAGGACGAAAGGCAAGTGCTTGGCGCTTTGACTGGGTTAGTGGGTGCAGAGGATCTACCTAGGAAAATAAGAAAACGCTGATTTCAAGTCGATGGTGAACATGGACTCCAGGATCCTGAAGGAACGAACGGTGTATGAACCTACTACTGGTCAGCGGTTACCATGAAACTGCGTTTCCTGACGTTTCTCCACTGCCTAAGGGATTAAACTTTCGGATCAAAGGCTCAGGAGTGGTCCCCTAAGGAAAGCACTTTCTTTGGTTTCGGCACCCATACAGTATCCCAGCACACTCACAAATTCAATAATGTGTGGTGTATGATTATTTAGACGCCCCTTCGTACCAGTGTTTAACTATTTAAATCAATAAAAAATCTACTTCTAACTCAAGTGATTAAATACATTTACATCAAAAATTAAAATTATGAACATAAGTGCAACGCCTTCACCTATTCTGATAAGATCCTGAAACACAAATATATTTCATAGTTTTGTATGAACAGGCATGAATAAATTGAACTACTCCAGTGGGTTTAGTTATTTTGAATAAACCAAAGAGAACAATGGTTTATCAAGTCATTGATCATTGTGAAAAAGTGCAAATTCAAAATTTAGAAAACGGGAAATAATTATAATGGTATTAGATTTTATGAGAAGTGATTTAAATTAGGTTGCAATGAAACATGGACTCATTTTTTTTATCTTACTGTTAATCACAATGTTGAGAATACCTTATAATATTCATTTCTTTAGTTCTATTGTTTGAATTGGAACACTTTCAAGTTTAGATTTCGACAAGGATTTATATTGCTTCTCCAGTTTTACAATGCAGTAAAATCCATTGGATATTACTCATCAAGAAGTGATTCCCTATTAGAAAACCGATTTTTAAATAACTAGCTTTTTTACTCTGGATTATGGAGTAACGGACTCAAGCACTCCATACATCAGTTGGAAAGTGAATAGGTAGTATTGTTAGAACTTATACAATAGATGTATACTAAAATATGCGTCTAATTATTCGTTAACATTTAACCGCCTTAAGAGAAATAAACTAACGATACATATTACAGATATATATATATATACCCCTTTGTAGAAACAATAAGATCACACAAAAAAGTGGCTTCTTGTCAACCACTATAAAATTTAAAGATTTTGAAGTCTAGCCAACGTCAAATAAACAGCAATGACAAAAACTGATGGCTTTTAAGTTTATATAAACAACCTTAAATAATTTTAAAAAGCTAAGAGAAATAAAATTGTAAAATTTAAAATACAATGAATAATTGATTTTTGAATATCACAATCAGCAACATAAAAACATGAATAAATAAAGCCATTATTTATTGATTAAACTTTTAGTAGATTTCTGATAAATTCTTATCTATAGAAAACGTTAGTTTTTTAATGCAAGTAAATGATGGATTTATAAGATAAATATTCCTGTCAAAGTACTTTACACTCAAACTAACTTCATAATCCAAAAATACAACTTCACATCGTAGAGGTATTTCCAAATGATGGGTTACACAACGAGTATTAGAATCGAGAACGTCAAAAGTTGGAGTTCTTGCAACCAAATAATCCAAGATTGATGTAGATACAAAGCTCGATGAAACAATATCTGAATTAGTTTTTGTCTCTACAAGTGATAACGAGTATTATTTAGCACCAAGAAAGGAAATAATCAGAAAATATCTATTTTCACTGATTAGATTGTAATAAGGAAACAGGCATATATTTTGAGATTCCAAAATATACTAACTCTACGTTTCTTTAGAAGTAAGATTAACACTAAATTCACAGACCTTTCCACTGAATGGAGCAGAGATATTTACAACTAATTGATCACTAGGTAGTGGCCAACATCAGGGAGCATTACCTCTCACAAGGTATAGGTACACCTCGCTGACGAATACCAGACAGTATGAAACCTAGGTCCAGAGTTTCTAGTCGACTACCTCCAACCACAACATTACATCTCAACGTACGAAACAAGGAAAATTTTATTGAACTTGGTTGAATCAATGGTAAAACATATATGGGTTACCAAGAAAATTATAGGCTAAAAGCTTTGGCTTGATGTCGGTGACGACACAAGTTGAAAATTCAGATTAATTTAGCCGCATTAATTTTGCTATGGTTAGTTAAGTTCGATAGTATCGCAGATTAAGAGGTCCTTAGTGAACCACATTCGACTATAAAATTATATCGATTCTCTGGCGGCTCTATATATACTTCACTGATGGATGATGAAAAACAAGAAACCGATGTTTAGAGCTTCCTATTGGTTGACAACAAATTTAATACAGCAGTGCGCCGGTGCGTTATCTACCTAAGATGTTACAAAACAAACTTGATCGATACATAAAATCATCACCAAGAACACATCAATGAGATTGTGTAAATAGTTGAATTGAAATGTTTGTCAGCAATGTACTATATTTCTGCAACTTAGTCCGAAATAATCAGAATTAAATAAGAGTTTATGATCAACAAAGAAACACCGATCAAAAGAGCAGTTTACTGAATTAATTTAAGGTTAATTTTAGTTTTATTAAGAAAAACAAACCTTTGTTTTTAACGTCCCAACTTGGCAATGCTACTTGACTGGAAACCGATTCTGTTGAAGTGAACAACTCTGGATCAAGATGTGCTCCATATTCATCCCAGTGAATCTGTTGATAAAATACAGTCACCTCCTTTTAGAAATCATACAATCGCATCAGATGTATTTAGCTCAAAAACTGACCAAACCTACTCTTAATCATTCAATTCGATGACTCTCAATCAGAAAATCTAGCCATAAACTTAGCGCTGTAAATTGATCAATAATGTTCATGCGTGTTTGATGCCGCGACTGTTAATTCTCACCAGAAACTAACACTAGGATCCATGGTGTTGTGAAGCACTACGTACCTCATAAAAATGGCTGTTTTGTGTTCAAACAAACCATGAGTCTATGGTCATTTAGTTTACCAGATTCAATCATATATATATGATGAATTGACCAAATTCTGAACAGATTTCACTAATTTTCAAGTGAAGCCACCAGGCACTGGAATTTCGAGCCTTTTTCAAGGAACAGTGCCCAACATAAATTCAAAATAAAAGGCGCATTATTATATAAAAAATTACAATAAATTAACAAATAATTGGTTGTTTTAGATAATTAATTGCTTATTATAACGTTCATATGACTGAATCAGGTATTATTTAATAACTTCACTTACAAACAGCATGAAGGTCTGCGGAGATAATGTTATTGAGATCACGAATTGAACTGAGTAAGATAACCGCAGAAAATTTGGAAGTATTGAAGAGCTGTTTTGTCCTTGTATGGGACTTCTTAGTAATGTACATCTACGAACCACCGAGGATGGAACTTAGATAAGCTCATGATCTCTGTCAATAACTCTCATAAACCCCTCATGTTACTGATCATCATATGCTCACCATAATCTAACTTTGAGTAAGTTCCCCAGTTTCTAGCGAGAAGATATCACCAATAGGATACAGCTTTATCCAGTTTGAAACAGGTACCCATCGAAGACAAGGAAAGATGGTCTCACAGGGTTGTTCATTGATTAAAGTTAGACATACAGACCATGAGATTCCGGCACAGTGATTTACAGGTTAAGTAATCACATGCGAGACAGTAGGTTTTGCATTTGATTATCAGTAAGCTCGTAGATGCGCACTGCATAGAAATCCAGACGAAACAACTGTTCAGTACTTTCAAGTATTCAATGCTTGTCCAACATAGTCAGTCAGTCGGTTATAACGTAGAATGTACATAAGTTCAGCTTGCCATACAGCATTAACAAAGAGACACAATTATCAGTTCAAATCCCATAGTGGTCGGTTCATGATATCAGAAATTTTACTCATAAAAACCAGCTACACTGAAATTTAGGTGGTAGTTGGGAGGATTATATCCTGAGTAAATATTTTATTTCATCTGATAATCTCACCTTCTTTTCATTTTGAGGGAACAGTAACTGAGTTCGTTTAGCCACACGGAAAAACTGACCACCAGCTTGGTTATGAAGCCCTGGATATATATCATATCCCGCTTGGTGCCGTCCAGAAGTTAAATGGTTTGTGACTCCGAATTGTTCCATATTCAAAGGTATACTAGTCTTTAAAAATAGTCTAGCTGTACTGCTTGGAACCATTGTTTTCCTTGGATGATCTCTTGGTACAGACAACGTAAGAGAAAGTGATTTTGTCTTTTCTACGTGAGTACCTTCCTCAGAACTGTGTGGCCGATTCAGACCGGATGCTGATTCACTTACCAACTCAGAATCACAATTTGGTTTTTCAAGGGTTCCTTCGGTCACTTGAGGTGAAACATCATTAAGTGCGATGTCATTTGCTGGTGGCATTGGGATGTCTGAAATTTAATGCACATTGTTATCGGAAAAAAATAAAGGACTTTAGTTGTACCTTACTACACAGAAATGACGCTTGTCGGATGAAAAAACCAAAATAAGATTCAAGAATTGTATTAGTCTGCCCAATGCAATTAAAATTGCAATCTATTAAAAGTGGTTAGTGTCTGTGTCAGGTTATATCAGTATATTTCAATATGAGATTTAATTCTAACTCTAATTTCTGCACCATTTATGCACTTCACTGGTTCGTTTGATCACGACGGAAATCCGTGAGTTAGGGGAGATGTGACATTTTTAGGGCCGACCTTTTCTAACCCTTCCTTCCTTGTGAGAAGGCAGCATCGCTGCAGATGCTGGTTGTCCGAGGGAAACACCTTACTGCTGTCACACCCCTCTGCAGTCAGCAGTACGACTTCGCCCTTAGACCTTGGGTAGCTGCTTTTAGTCTCATCGTTCTCCAATCGACCTGTCTGGCATGGTAGAACCTTGAGGAACATATGTTCCAGCCAGTATAGCTCGGTTGGGTCATCACGATAGGCAAGCCCGACCACCACGTCAAGGTAGCAGCTACGGTCGTGACAGACGTGACAGATAGACAGATACAACGCAGAACTTCGTACGTAAGTACGTCATTTCAGGTTGCCATACCACATCAGCACAGAGACGCGACTGTCAGTTCAAATCCAAGAGTGATAGTGATATTAGAAGTATTAGCAGTAATGGCAGTAATGACTTATTAAGCAACCTCTATTTAAAGTATAGTTTATTTCCGAAATTATACTTTTATTACACTTGATAGATCAACTTTCCTACAATCTACAACTCACAGAACTGACCGAAACCAACCATAGTAGGAACGATAAATCTATAATTAGACATCACTTGACGAGAGGTTATTTTACTTCAAATAAGAAAATATTAACCACCACAACCGTTAAAACTCGGTGTTATACTCAGAAAAGTTCAAGTTGTTTTCCCCCTTATACTATGAACTCTTGTAACCTGATTATTTTGACACTGAAGAACTAGACTACGGCAAAAAGGTTAATCCATGCAAATTAACACAATAACAAAGATGGAAAAACTAAGTAAGTACATAAGAATAAACAAAGTTGCTCACTGAGTGTTATGATTGGTTTAAAGCTTTATCAAAAAAAAATATAGACTAAATAAAATAGATGCCTGCAAGTGTCATAATGCTCATACACTTCTATCCACCTGGCGCAAGTATAGAGTCTAACGAATCGATTTTGAAGACTCAATGACGCTGCTATATGAAAAACTTGGTCTTATAATTTATTTGTATTAATTAGAAGCATATTAGCGAATGATTTTAAGACCAATCATAAACGATCGAATAACCTTTATTAGTGTCATCAAAAACATGAATTCAAACATATCGATAAGGTATATTTCACGAAATGCAGGTAATATTACTTAAAATATTTGCTGAAAGCCATGAACTAAACGTATCGAGATATCACTTAATTGTCCCACTAAAACATCACAAAGTGAGTCGTCAAATAAACTATACTCATAAACTTCACTAAAATCAATAACACAAGTGTTGGGTATTATCAACCCTAATGAGCTGGTGCACACCAAAATTTCGGGACATATATACGAATCTCGCTGTCTTAAGTTCCGTGCCCACCCATACTTTGGTTTATATTTCTGTCTGAAAACTGAGAGGGTCAAGTTACTGTGCAACAGTCAGTTCTGCATCACTGTACGGATATGAAACGTGACCAGAGAGACTGCGTTTCCAAAAAATTATTCTAGTATAAATCAACAACTAAGAAAGTAATGTTGACGAAGTCGCTGATAAGTGATCTAAGTCATGTTGGTAGATGCAAACTTTTTGGTTGGGTCCCATTCAATACTTGCAACAAATGGTTGGCGACTATAGGTGACATAAGTCAAAATCGGTCATCGTGATGCAGTTGCATTCACACTATATTTTTAGTTCAATCTTGAATCGACTTTCGTTTTTTGTCTTATTTCAACTTTTTGAAACGTATCCCTCATACTGCAGTTGGGATTGATTTTTCTGACTTTTTACTTTGCTAATTTCTACTCTCTGTGCTGATGTAGTAATGATAATGACTGAATGACACATGACTTGAATGTAAAATAATCCTAAAGTTTCAGTTCGTTTTATCAGCTTTAAGAAGAATATTAACTTCGACCATCATATGAATTTAAAAGAATAAAGTTTACATAAGACAAGAACAATATTTGCAAAATAAAACAAGTTCGTTATACTTCAGATTATTATCGGCTTCAAACTGCCTAGACTTATATTAATGTTACTATTAAAATGTTTTATCACATACCATAATCGGTGAATCAACAAAAAAACAAGAGGTTATTATCATCCACCTAACCTTTGCATACGGAAATTGTGGTGAACCTATCATTGCCATGATAGGATAAATAACCTCTTTATTATGGTTTACAGCGTAAAGCAAAAATTCGTATTGACATTCACTTGAGACGTTAACTTCAATGTTATGCTAAATAAGCGGCTTGATTATCACTCATTTCGTAAGAATCTGTTTTTATTCGTTGTCTTCTAATTTCCTCAAACTTCACTCCCCTCTTCCCTTTGCGAGATTTCATCTATGTTAAATATGTTGTTTCCTCTTGTTCCATAAGTTGGTACGTAAGAAAACATTCTCATAGTAATATTAGTAACGCACTTTTAACCTGTTTGTAGCTGATGAAGAACCCTAAGATACAATGAATTTATTTTATTCTGAAAATATTGTTTTGCTAATTTTATTCACATTTACCAAGAGATAGGACTGTATCGAATTTCGAAATGAACTTTGTTACAATCACAATGAAACTGAGTTAGTTGTGAGCTATAAAGCTATCGAAAACTACTGGGTTGGATATTCAGTTACCATTTCAATGAGTTGGCAAGTTGATATAACAAACACCAAAATCGTAAATCAAGATTGCCAGTGACCTTTGTTGAGCTATAACTGTTTCGACCTACTGAGTTGTAAGAATTCTGTACCCAAAAAATGGGCTGACGGTGCATTTGACAGTGTAAGCACTTGATGAAAGTATCTTGACATGTATTTAATGCTTATTTCACGAAACGATTTTTAGAGTAAGAAATGTATTAACTGGAAGTCGTATAGAGAACATACCTGTAAAACTGACATTCATGTTTCCGGGCTCTGTTTCAGAATTGAGATCATCGCATAAGTCATTAACTGCTGAGCTTGTGTTTTGAGAGACGGAAAGACTTTTAGCTGAGTTTCTCAAGTGTGGAATGTCAGACGCTGTGTCCGCTTGTGAACACGACACTCGTTGTGATAACGTTAAAGGGAGGATTAAAGTGCCGGTTGAACTTGTAGGCAAATCTTTTCGTGCATCTATATCTTTTCTTGCTAACCCGATAAGACGTGATATTAAACACTGATTTGAAGATTCATCAACTCCAGTGATAACAGATTCTTGAGAAGTTAGAATTATTGTGTTTAAATCGTTATCCGCCCACTCAGCAAATAACTGACGAGAAAATCCACAACTAAGATCGGAAAGTGATGAAAGCACAACCTGAAATAACATGTGAAAATGAAAGGCTTACTTTTGGCTCTGAAACCGCATCTAGCTGTTCTAACGTATGACACAGCTGCATATGCCGGAAATGAAATGGATTACTACGTTGATCCTCGAAAGATCTCATTACTTTTTCAGACATCCATTCGATCATTGACTTTGCAAAGTCCACAACATTTAAAGCCACGTAATTAAGCATCGCCAATCCATAAGCCATTAGGCCAGATTCCTAGTAAAACAAAATACAGAATGGAAAACATAGTATATACATAATAACTCGTCCGCTGAAACAGCAAAACCACCTTCAATGAACGGTCATTATGAAAAAGATATTAGCAGAACTACACAAATTTCACGACTATTGATATAAAACATCAGTTCAATTTTCAAAACCTATGAGCTGACGTTGCTTCAAATTTATCCGGAAATGGCTCGAGCTTATTGATAACTTAAAGGATATTCTCTCAAACCAAACAAAAGTACAAACTAAATTCTATGGGTTTCAAGACTATTATAAAAGACAGCAAATTTTTTAAAAAACCTACTGCTGTGAAAACGGGAATTTTACCAAGTTAAAACAGAATACGCAGTTAGAAACTTTAGTACAAAGTCAAATATGCTGAAAATATGAGTTTCAAAAATCATTGCATTTCAACACAACTCTCGTTGAAGACCGTGTGGTTTGCACACTAATTTCGAACAAAAAAGACACAGCACAGCTGGACAAAAGAAGTCCCTTGACTCGCAAATGTAACATGGAAGTTGACGTCTTAAGTGAATGATAATACGAATCTTTGCTTTAGGCTATAAACCATAATAAAGCGGTAATTCATTCTATCATGGCAATGATAAGTTCACCACAATTTCAGTATACTTAACCACCAACTGCCTCGAAGAGCTTTGTTTTGTAGTGTAGGAATAGGCTGGACGAAAGCTAGTGTTGACCAGACCAAAACATGGCACAAATCCATGAAGTCATTAACGAGTGGACTTAGCCATGTCGGTAATTGTCCACTACCTGGTTGGAGTCCGCGAGATGATAATAATCGATGGTTAGACCCTGAATAACATGGCTTAAAACCGTTTGCAATGGCACCGGTGCATTTATTCTTTGTGTTCTCTCAAATTCGAATCTTCTGGATTCTTCAACAACTCTAGTTTTGACTTTCTAAACTTTTCTCACTGAATCATACTTCTTGAATAATATCTTCTAATCCTAACCTCTCCGATTACTTCTAATACCTTTACTACCTCTTCTACTATTGCATTTGAATTGACAATTATATCTCTGTGCTGATGTGGTATGGCAACATGAACTGATGTACTTACGTAAGAAGTTCTACGTTGCATCTGACTGACTGACTTCCTGATATGAGAATATAGTTTTAACTACTAGAGGAAAGTTAGTTTGGAATACGATAGCGGTGATTGAGTTGGAAGCAAAACGTTTCGAAACAAATATGTGACATCTACTAACTGGAACTAACCTGGTTTAACCAACATTGTTCCAAAAAATGAGCTACTTCAAGACATCGTCCAGCAGTATCAACAGCAATAAGTACATTTCCACCGCGCCTTAAAGTCCTCAGGATTGTCTGACGTAGGTTTTCATCACGATCTTTTCTCCTGGGCTGGAAAAGTCATCATAAGACAGAATTTACCTGAGTATATAAGGTGTTTGAACCATCCATAATTAATAAGTGTGGTCGAATGCATGCATCGAAGGTAGCCCCGTTCAAATGTCTCTCTTTTTTATGGTTGAAATCCAAAGCATAGACAATACTTGTATCTTCTTTCACTAGTTTCCAAATTGTTCCACCAAGTGTATGACCTGTCAGAGAGTAATTCCTATTTTACTGACATACCAGAAGGAAGTGGGGTTATACATAGCCCATGGCCACGACCATGAAGACTGATTGTTTGCTGGTACTTAACTTGCTGAACATGATCAAAGGCCAAATCAACATCATCTAACGTGTAGTGACTAAAGTCCTCAGAAGCATGTCTTGACTGGAAAAAGTCATACAAAAACATTTGTCCCATTTTGTATACAGGAGTCGTTGCATAAACTGGACAGTTAAGACCACATGTTCCAACAAGATATGGGAGCATGCCGAGATGTCTAAGACTTTGATGACTAAGGAGAACAGCATCAACATGTTTGGCCCATTTTGAAACCTCTTTCACATATTCACTATCCAGTTTCTCAGACCAACCACAGTCAAGAAGACAGTGAAATTCGTCGACCTGAAAATTATTATTCAGACTATTTTCTGACCTACCTGTAGCAAATAACATGGTGAGCCATTATCACCAGCCCCTGAAAGCGTGTGCAACTTGATTATAGAAGTTGCCATCCCAAAGGAAACGACCTTGAGTTCATAAAAATAGAATCTACAATATCCAATACCCAACATCGTTTTCATGAGCATGTTGTGGATTGTCCTGGCAAAATAGTGACCTCAACCTAGTTTGAGAGACGTGAGTCTCAGAAGTAGTAGGTGCAAAAGAGCAAATTTCTTATCATTGATTAGACGCTTCGTCGATCGAAAAGGGGTGAAAGCAAATAAAATGTTCTGCCCCCGCTGACATGTATGGATTGAAGTCATTGCCCACACCATCAATGTTTTATAGTCAGAAACTCCACCCTACCTCCTTTTTTTGTTTTTAGTATTGTATAAAATGATTGTAAGATAATAGTTTTGTTATATTGAGGCTCTGTGTTTCACATCCTGTTAAGACACATTATTTCTGCAAGTTTGTTCTTACAAGCTTGTCTAACTGTAGCAACTTATGAACTGTTGGCGAGACGTCAATACAATACAGTCAGCAGTTATGGAGAAAAAAGTACGGATTTTCAAACTAGCTATTAGCATTTAGGATGTAGTAGAGGGGATGTGCTGAACAAAGTAAGCAGGAAATTCAATGAGTAATATGGTTGAAATGGGAGAAGTAGAAACACAGACGAGGTCAGTAGTAAGTCAACAGAGTGCATGTAAGAACAGTAAAAGTAATAATAGACAATATGGAACTCACAAAATTTTGGATGCTGATAAAGTCCAGAACAGTATGGTGCGCTCTAATCAGCCAGTTTATAATTGTACAGTGTTGATCAACTTAGTTAGAAACCTGTCTATTTCAGGTAAAGTCTAGAGATTTTTATTCAACTAGAAAAATTTAATTCTACTTAGGAGGATAGATAACTAAAATGCAGAACAGAGTTCGGTATAGTTTTAATGTGTGCAGAGATAATAATAAGGAAGCGGGGTGCGAGTGAGTTCATGCGTGCATATGAATCAGTGCAACCCAAAGCTTCATTAAGAAGCTATGCAAACTCATCTGAACCACCTGTAATGCGCATTTTTTGATAAGGCTATTTCATATCAGTGCATATTAAGTGAGGAAGAGGTTTTTTCGAGTTAATACCTATCAAGATTGGCCGTATATACTTCGTTAGTTTCATAGATCACTTTTAGGTCATCAGAGTAGAGGAACTTTTTGTCAGTGTTGAAGCAACAGCATTTTCTGTTGATGTAGATTATGAAAAGCATTTAACCCAAGACCCTGCCCTGCACAACATCACTGGTAAATGATTGAAGTGTATTTGTGGTAGAGTTAATTTCGGTTATTTGGTACCTATTCATGAGAATAGGCGGTCAGTAATCCAGGTGGATGAAAGTCTGTTGAAAAAGAGACTATGAGGTACCTTATCGGAAGCCTTCTTGATATGAAAATACAACACGATCACCAGTTGCTTTTGGTCGCGTACGCTGGTCACGTCATTAAGTAAATCCATCAGATATATGGTGCATGGCCAGTTCTAACGAATCCATGTTATGAGGGGTCGATCAGACCTTCTTTGGGTAAGCGATCAGTTAGTTGATCATTTATCACTTTTTCCATAACCCGTGAGATAACTTGGGTGATATTAATTGATCTGTAGTTTTGGATTACGTCTTTCGGCACAGATTCATCTTTAGGTAAAATATGAGTTAATTTCCAAGTTTCGGGTTATATACCAGCCTCTAGGGATAGAGTATATATTTTGAGTAAAATCGTTAGAATGTTTGCTCTTGCCATTTGAAAGAGTACGGATAGTATCTTAACCGCACCACAGATGCCATCGGGTTTGATTGTTCAAATGGCTACCTGAAAATTGCTAAGATCAAAGATGATGGTACAGAGATTATTATTACTGCTACAGTTAAGATTAATATCACGGGTATGAAGTGTGTTCTGATTAAGGGAGAACCATGTTTTAAACAGTTCACAAATTAAAGTGTGTTCATAATAAGTCTTTCCATGATGCAGCATAGAATGAATGTTGTGATCCTAGTTCTTTTTGATGCGGTCGTTAAGCAGACGACAGGGCTTTTGGGACTTACATACAGTAGCGAGTGTATTACTTTCTTCTGTTCGCTTGCGCACTTCATGCTGTTTTTTCATACCTTCAAGTAGGGCTTACGTTTGGTACAGAATGCTGAAATCCTCAGAAATGCAATAAGCCCTGGCTTTATGGGTGAAATAAGTAGTCATTATTTTGAAAGACTTTTTGAAGGGTTTAGTAGTGCCAACTGCCGATTTAATGATGATATCGACTTTATAATGTTTCCAAAAGTTCAGGACTAGTGAAGAAGGTGATCCAGTTGGATTACTGAATTAGAAACCGGAACCTGTCCCAATCAGTGTTTTCGTAGTCTCCGTAATGAAAACACTTTACTGTTTTAGATTTGTCGCATTCAGAAAGAAACGGTAAAGTTCAGAGGACTATTTTATGGCCACTATTGTTAAACTTTTCTCAGACTCCCATAGATGTTGGTATAACATCGTGAAAAAAATACCGAATCGAGAATGTTGTGGTTTCTGGTAGACAGGTGCACATGTTGTTTGTTGCCAACCGTGTGTGCCTAAGGGAATAAGTATGCTTCTACAGCGTAGTCGAGAAGAATGTGTCTATCAGTTGATTCCAGGGAGGTTGAAGTCACCACAAACAGTTTTGCAAGCAAATTTAAGGGAGGTAGCCCCCGCAAACGACTCACCAATGGAAATTCTAATCGATCGATGAGTGTTTGGAGCTCGAATTATGCATCCAATCAATATTTTAAATTCATGGGCGTGCACAGTAAGCCATATCGTGTCAGGAACTTTATTAGGCACAGTATAACTTAACATTTTTGCTTCGATGTTTCTAGATACAAAGATGAGACAATCAACAGCTTTTTTAGAGCATGAGTCACCGCGAAAGAATTCATAAGAGTCTATTAGAAGGTATGAGTCAGGGATATGGGGAACAACCAAAGTTTGGTAATCAGGACAATGAATGGTTGTTTAGAATTACCAGTGAGCGTAGGTGAGTCGTCTTGTTGATTACAGATAGGGAATTAACTAGCATGAGTGTTACATAGAGTGAAACTTATCTTTCGGGGAAGCACGATGGGCATCTGATGGGTTATTTGTTGCGTAGTGTGAAGAAGGGATGGAGGTAGGAATATGGGCTTGATAGTTACGGCCAGTCGGTTTGTGAGCAATATTGTTAGTTGCAGAGGGGTATTCAGAGACGGATGGGGTAAGAAGGCGTACGAGGTAGAACTCGGTAGATGTTCACTGATGATAACCGAAGAACATATGAGGAATTCGCTAGAGAGAATAAGGCCAGACGGTTTCGTAGATCCTTCGGATTAAGTGGAGTAGAGTAAGTCAGGTCGGCGAACGATGAGTCAGTCGGCCAGTCAAAAGGACCAAACATAAAAGTATTACAACTAGAAAGGGTAGAGAGCTGCAAAGATTGACTATCCTACATTGCACAACAGTATGTTGAGAATGACTTAAAAGAGGTGGGAATATCGTACTCAGCAAATGAACATGAGCGTTAGCGTTAAAATGGGTAAGGAATATGCTTTGAAGCTTGCCTGAAACAAACTCATTTATTCAAATCATGGGACATACAAATTCACAAACAACTGACACCCCGAAACACCCGGAACTGTCCTAAAAGAACAGGAATCGAGATCAAAGAAAACAATCATTTTGTACTTGCTCATGAAAGATACTGGATATTGGCGCTCCTTCTAACTTCTGCGCAACGTGCAGAATGAGTGTCTCTGAAATCAGTCGGTTGTTGATTACATAAATATATGACCGTAAGTATGAGAGCCTGACGGCCACGATTCCCGCACATTTTGCTGATGAATTGTTTGCAAAGTAGTCATCACAACACTGACTGTTGTTTATTTCAAAGCGCAACCATTATAAGCCGTTTTACATTTATGCAGTTGTATGCATTTCGTAACATGCCCACAAAAGCAGTTTTTGATGCAGAATTCGAATCTTGACGTTTTCCACTCATTCACTGAATTCAGGTTCACAGGGCATGGACAATTATCATTCTCGATATCATATATTTTCTTAACGAAATAAAGTTTGGGACATGTACTAGGTATGCCCAACCACCAACTGCCTCAAGAAGCGATATTTTGTGGTGTAAGAGTAAGCTGGAAGAAAACTAGGGGCGGCCAAACCAAAACATCGCACAAATCCATGAAGTCACTGATAAGCGGACTGAATTTCTTGTCTCTTCTATCTTTCTCTTTATAAATCTATCTTACTGAATCATACTTCTTGATTAATATCGTCGAATCCCAATCGTCTCCTTTACCGATAATATCAGTATGGGGTCTGAACAGGCATTTGCCTCTCTGTAATAATGTGGTTTGGCAACCTGAACCTATGTTTATAAGTACGCAGTTCTACGTTGTAGATGACCGACTGACCATCTGGAGAGTGGATTGGAAGTCAGTGTCATAGAAACGATTAATAACTGTTCTATATTTTAATGTTTTTCTCAGATTCTTGGTGGACTTGCTTTAAATGTAAATCGATTATGACCTCGAATCAATCGATCGTTTGATTGATCTGTTATCCTAATTACTACCAACAAATCCACACTGAATACACAAAAAACGTTCTCATGTGGCACCATAATGTCTGTCAAAAGTCATCTAATCGGTTTTTGAATTGATCACTTTACATCTGGACTCCAATGCACGAGCGTGTAGAACGAGAATAAGAAAATAGATCTTTTGTCACGCAAGTCTCTCTTCTTGAAGAAAAGTAAAAGCGACTCATTCAACTAAAAATCTAGTTCATATTGTTTACTGAACTCTCTCTGATTATATACTGTTCTTGTTCATTATTTATTTTCTTCAAATATTCTGTTCATTCTGCACAGTTATCCCCATATATCATTTGGTTCATTCCATTTATAGTACCCAGTTGTTCCAGATTGTATGTGCTTGATTAGTGATACTAATACTGGTAAAAATAGTTGAACGTTCTAGCCTAAAAGCACGTAAACAACTGGTAGAAAGCATGCAATCGATTTGCTCTGAACCGGCCTTATTTTATCGTAAATTTCATCTACTTTGTTTTAATATGGTCAAGAGAACTAGCCATATGCAATATATTTTAAAATAATAATAGTTACCTGGTATTTTTAAGTTACAGGTTTCATCTGTTAGTTTTTCCAAATTATTTCCAATTAGTGGCTGATTATCTTCATTGTTATCTACATCTGTTTACGTCTATGCACAATGAACGAGGATAAATGTCCTAGTCAAAGCGAAATAAATATGAATTTTAGCACAAATTCAGATTTAGAACCGTTTACTGATAAGGATGTACTGATGACCACTGGAGCAGTTGCTCGTATACTCAAAGAATCTGGATCTCTGGAATCGACCGAACCTAAAGTAGCTAAGTTTTCTGTAAAGCATTGGTGTAGGTTGTTGAAAATGCTGCACAGTCATCAGAAAGTCTACTTAGTGAGGACAAAAGCAGCACGGAATCTTCAGCTGAGGTGGCTACTTGTTCGACTTCAGGAAATCTCTGCTGGACGGATGATTCGTTGCACATTTTTGTTCTCAGTGAGGCTGGAAAACCTATATATTCACGGTACGGAAATGAAAGCGATTTATCCTCTTTAATGAGCGTTATGCAAGCCCTCGTTTCTTTTGTTGCGAATTCTGGAGATGAGCTTCAATTGATCAACACGCCTGACAAAAAGTTCTTGTTCGTTTCTCGGTCACATCTTATACTAGTAGCATTCAGTCCAGTTTCTGAACCCACTTCACATTTGCGCATCTGCCTCGAATATGTATATAATCAGGTTTGTGATGTTGCTTCTTATTTTATAAATATTTTAAACTTCATAAAAGGCGCATATTTTAAGAAATATTGTGCATATAAAGTAGATATTAAAATCGGATCAGTTTTTTCATCAGGCATTGTTAATGTAGTTTATCTGAGAAAGCCTCTGCTCCTTGTTATCACGCAATATTTTAGTGTAGATGTGGTCACTACCTGTTCGAATAACTGAACAAATTTGTCTTATCTAAACCATAATAAGTTTTATATGACTAGGAAAGCTTTACTCTAACGTCTAGTTCCAAAGAGCCTTATGTAAGGCGAAGTAGAGAAAAATCTAACGATGACCATTACTCTGTGTTCATTAAGCTATCATAAGTGTACATTTTTTATGACTTTTTCCCTTATTGACTGTTATGTAGCTATTAGAATTGAGTTTAATGGAACACTTTATGCTATAATATCGTCGGTTTGAGTTACAACATTAAAAAATTAATTTTTTCCTACCAAATGATGAAGTCAGAGCATTTAGAAAAGCAATAATTATTTGGAAACATAGTAGAAACCAGATGAAAAATCAGTTTGATTATAATTGGCTTACCAAGAACAGATTTATGTGTTCGCTTCTGAGTCATACTATGTGAAGTCTACTGATTTTATCTAGCTACCTAAATCCAAATAAAAGAAACAGTTCAGACTTGCGACCTACTCAAGTGTAATCCTTTAATCACTAACCCACCGCCGTGCTCCAAGTTTGGCTATTGAATTTGAGTGAAACATTAAACTATTTAACTCATAAAACATGGTCAGAAAATGTCTAAGTCAGTCAGCTCCAAGTAATAAGGTAAGCGAATGAAGAAGGGATCGATCTAAGGTTTCGGGGATCACAGTTTAATCTGGATATAAGGTTAAAAAGTTTCTAATGCACATCGTTTGGGGTTCGTCGTTAGTCACGATAACTAACAACTTAGCAGATATAAAAACATACCTCTTTTTTCGAGGTATGTTTCATTCTACAGATTACTTTGGACAGAAATTCTTACCATTCAATGTGCATAGTCGAAATGATGTTTTGTTGCAATATCTGTCGACATCAAGTCTCTGTACCTTGGCTATTGTAGTTAACCCTGACCGTAGTTGTTACCTGGATCTGGTGGTCGGGCTTGCCCATCGTGATGATTCAACTGAGCTATATTGGCGGAAGCATGTGTTCCTGTATGCGTTATGTAAAAAAGTGATAGTAACTTTATTTTGAAATCTATGCTTGTAAAGGTTTAAAGATAACACGACATAATAGGGTCATTTAACCCTAGGTCCAAATTTGTCAAATTTTTATAAATAGCTTAAATATAAATTAAATATCATCATAAAAAGTAAGTTATTTTCGCAAATTACAAATTACATTTGGTTTATATTAATTTTTGTAGAATAATTACACCTTGTCAGTAGATAAAGTCGATATGTGAATGCTACCATTTGGTTTTGTCAAAATTCTAGATAATAAGCTCATTAACCTTGCAAAGAGTGGAGAAGCAATTTACAAGACATGCTAATTTGGATTTACGCAAACTTCTTGTTGGAGATAATAGACTTCTATCCTCTATCATAAATCGAGTAGAAGAGTGTTTTGGGATATTTTTGAATGCAATCAGCTGTACACCACTATCGGAAAATAACAGAGCTGCAATATCACAGATTATATGTCAAAGTGCTAAATTAAGTGTGAGTTAATTTTGTTAAGCATATATTTTCAAGGGAGTTGCATTCATTATTCCAACATAAACACTAGTACAAATAGGCACCAAAAGAAGTCTATGCTACAATGTAAATAAAATCGTAACGAGATAAAGAAAGAGAGGTGAGGAAAAACTAGCTAATAGGAGCGAGAAAATAATAATATGAGGAGTTCAGTCAAAAAATAATACCAGAAATGGTTGAGAAAGATCACGGCACCTTTAAGAAACAAGCCAAAGAATATCACACGTGGAATGCCATTCTGAGCCATTTGTGATAACACCTCAAACCTCTGTGTTAGACTGTCTGTCGGATTTCAACAAGGGGATTGTGGAGGGCCGGCAGATGCTCACCCATGCACGTTACTCTCATACTACGATGTCATGTAAACTGGCCACCTAGGTTTTTCTCAACCCGTCCCAGCGTTTTTAAATGAAGCACGAGACTGATACCTCTTCTGAAACCTAGAGAAATAATTCCTACAGGTTCATGAGATGTTCGCACAACAATGTGGAATTCACTGAGACAACATTCGTAGTACATTCCTGGGCCACCGAATTTGGTGTTCCAGGACGGTAACCAACTGAATTATCGTCACTGGGTGTCAGCAATCCTTCGGAGACAACAATGGTAAAGGACAGAAGGCTACTTGACTTCATAAACTCGAGAGGCTAGGTTTCTCAAGCATACAACAAAACAGATGTCACCTAAACCTTGCAAACCTTACCTTTTTACTATCATCTTAATATCACAACGGAGCCAAATACGTTCTGGTTTGAGACGGGCCGGTCCAGCTTTCGCTACACATAAATTGAGCTTATCAGTCATGCCACCACCAGCACTTACACAGCTACCCAAATACACGAGTTTTTCAACCACGACTAACTGCTTACTACAATAAGTTAGTGCTGGTACAAGCTATTGTAACAATAATCTGCACTTAGTATCTGCAAAGCAAATGATTCAGGGAACTATTTATGTATAATTGTATTCTATTTTAATCTATGTTGCCTATTCTTTGGGTGAATCGAATACTGTCACAAGAATACATCATGACTTAATATGATTTGTTATGCAGTCAGTCACTTGACATATTACAAACAATCCGTTACACTTCATAGTGTCTAACTAATGTAGACACAGATGTTTTGTTTTTCTGGTAGTATTAAAACAGGCCCTTAATATAACCAATTATACCAAACAACAAAGGCAAAAACTTGTGAAATGCTTAAGTTTCGCTTTACAAAAGTGCTGTTTGGGTAAAAGTGATTAAAGTTACTAAAAATACTAATTCTGATGAATAATTCATTTACAGGTTGTAGTGTTGTCAGACAAGCTTATGTACGTTATACTTTCTATCATAGTACTGTACTATAATATGATAGCGTGCTTAGGTTAACATTAAAAGTTGAAGTTCAGTTATTGATGGGCATAAAAAAGGAGGATTGGGCATGAGGTTAGCAACCGCATCCTTTCTAAAACAAACTTGCTTAAAATGCTAACCAGAACAAACAATTCAAACCATTTAAAATTTGCTCGGGAGTTGTGAGACCTTCATTTAGAAGAGTTATGACTCCTCGTAATGAAAGCTGAGTTTCTTCAAAAGTCACGAGGTCGATGCCTCTTCTGATAACAAGAGTAACAATTAGTATAGGTACATGGAATGTTCTCACAATGTGGCAAACCGGAAGAACTATTCGATTTGCTGAAAAAATGAAACCGTACAACCTGGTGGTACTTGGAATAAGTGAAACCCATTAAATTCAGGCTGGGAAAAAGGATTAGCTTCAGGAGAGGTGCTGTTGTACTCTGGTCATGAAGAAGAAAACGCCTCACATACACAAGTAGTAGCACTGATGTCCAGAAGTTGCACGAAAAGCACTTATAAAATTGGAATTTCATAGATCCAGGATCATCAAAGCACCCGTCAAAACAAAGGAAGAAGGAATTACAATGAATGTAATTAAGTGCTATGAATTTATTAACGATAGCAACGAGAATAATGAAGATCAGTTTTATGAAAGGCTGCAGTCAATCGTAGAGAAATACCCAGTGAGCGACCTGACTATTCTGATAGGAAACCTAAACGCCAAGCTTGTAATGGATAACACCGGATTTGAAGATATCATGGCATGACATGGACTGTGAGAAAGGAGCGAGAACATTCAAAGATTTGCAAATCTATATGTTTTCAACAAAATGGTTATAAGTGGCACCATATATCCCCACGAACGCGTGTACAAAGCTACATAAGTTTAACCGTCCACTCCACGGAAAACCAAGTTGATCACATCTGCATCAATAAAAAATTCAAAAATTTCATGAGAGATGTAAAAACAAAGATAAGGACTGACTTAGCTTCAGATCACCACTTGGTGGTGGCCAAGACAAAACTGAAACCAAAGAAGCACTGGACAACTGGGTATACAGCATTATAAAAGTTCAATACAACCTTTCTTCGGGATACTGGCGAACTCAACGAATTCAAGATGGTTCTCGGAGAGAAGTTTCATGCCTATTCGATGAGGAGGAAACTACCATGGAGAACGACTGAAAAGTGATCAAGGAAGCAATAACATCAGTATGCCATAAGTTTTCGGGCCACAAAATCCATCACAAGTAATGAATCTCTGTCGCTACACTGAATAAGATTCAAGAAAGGAAGAACAGAAAGACAGAAGTCAATATCAGCTCAACGAGAGCAGAGAAAGCAAAGGCGCAAGCTGTATACCCAGAAGCAAACAAGCAAGTGAAGAAGTTCATTCAAGCTGACAAACGCAAAAATGTGGAAGATATAGCAATGACGGCGTAAAAGACTGCAAGCAAATGAAAGATGTTACAACGATACGATAGAAGAAAGAAGCTTGTTGGGGAAATAGAATGACAAAACAAGCGGTCAAGGAGGGCGAAGCAATCAACGACATTCATGGACGAGCACTTTGAAAAACACTCGAACAGACCAGCCTCACTGAACCTACCCAACAGAGAAGCAGCTTCTACAAACTTCCCAATCGATGTTGACCCACTAACAACTGTAGAAGCTAGCATGGTTATCAGACAAAACACAAATGGTAAAGCATTGAAACAAGACAACATACCAGCTGAGGCACTAAAAGCAGACATAACTGTAACTGCAAAGATACTCCATGCTCTCTTCAGCAAGATTTGGGAGGAAGAACAAGTACCAGCAGACTGAAAATAAGGATACTTCACCAACATACCGAAGAAAACTGATCTTAGTAAGTGCGGAAACTACAGAAGAATCACTATACTATCAGTAGTAGGAAAAGTCTTCAATACAGTCTTACTAAACAGATTGGAAGATTCAGTAGATGCCTAACTTCAATATTAGCAGGCTGGAATCTGTAAGGATCGATCGTATACTGACCAAATCACGACAACTACGGATCATTATGGAACAATCAGTTGAGCAGAATTGTTCACTATACTACGATAAAAACTTTGATTACATTATAGGAGCTTCTTTGACGTTACGGTATATCTGAGAAGGGAGTCCAGGACAGAGTTGGTTGAAGATTGCTGGTCGCCTCTGTATGCTCCACGATGGATAACAGACGCAAGTAAGTGAGTCTATATGTTTGGATTTTGCACGTACATATGTACGTATGTGCGAAGTTCTACGTTGTAACTGACTGACTGACCTGGAATTTTATCATAAATTAGCTTCTTCAATTCCGCTTATTATTTTTGCATAATTTCAAAGTTTCTAAACCAGAAACCTAGATAACTTGATTATAAACAAATATTTCAGAAATTTTAACACAGAAAATCAAGCATATATTATTTTCTGTGTATGAAACGATTATTATTCTTATCATAAAAGCGCTGTTAAACGTTAATTTATTTGATTTTCTTATGTCATGATCTAAATTTTAGGGTTTGGTGTTCGGTATTTTATTTCATGGAGACGATATTGTCAGCATTGTGCGCATGAAGAACCAACATCTTCGCCCATCAGATATCCATTTACTTTTAAATCTAATTGGAAGTTCACAGTCTTTCAAATCAGCACAATCTCATTGGTTACCGATCTGTTTACCTAAATTCGATGCTAAGTAAGTATAAAAATTATAACACTTCACTGTCTTCACTTTATGAAATCAGAATCATAACTTGAGAGAAAATTATTACTGAAAATTAAAAAATAGCTTAAAATAAGCCATGCCGATGTATGGTACCAGTGAATGAATATAGATTATTTTTCATCATAGAGTTTTGGAGATAGTTGTTTATTACTAATAATGATTGATTTATGAAGTCAGGAATATAGGTAAGATTTGTCAAATAACTATAGTGAATTTTCATTTTATCCCAAGTTGACATATTGCTCAGAAATACACATCTATAATGTGCTAAACCTCAGGACCTTTAGGTTCCTTGTTAAGAACAATAACTCAAGGCCAATATGTCAGAATGCAGTAATATGCTACTTCAACTAATAAGCTACATAAAAAAGACATTTTTTCATATATTTACTTGAATCATTATCATTTCATATTGTTGTTTTTTTTCTTGCGGTTTTTCATATAACTCTAGCGGATTTTTATACGCCAGTGTTACTTATCTTAATGATTCAATATGTATGGTTTTGCTTAGTGTTGATAGTGGAAAATTTTATCCACTGAAATCAATTACTGAAAAAGTATTCACTGTAAGTTTTCTTATATAAATACAATAATAAGATGTTACATGATTCAGTTACATTTTTTTAAAAATAAAATTAATTCTATTAATTCATTTATTTACTTTACGATGTTTACATTGTTATCAAGATTAAGATGTAACTCATATTTTTACGCATCGATTAATGATTGTCTTGAAGTAATAATAACTTTCTTTCAGTTTTTTTTACTAAATTACAACAGATCTATGTAGGTAATGTGTATAGTAATTGACTATCGGAAATAAATCAATACTCAATCTTAGCACAATGCATGTCTCATCTTTAATTTCTCATCCTTGAAATCCCACTATAAATGAGTACTAATACCAATTTCAGCGTAAACATCATCAGCATTAGTAGCTTCTAGGGTTGTTAATTGTTAATCTGTCCTTAGTTTGTTCTCAATTGATGATAGCTAATATCAGATCAAACCTCAGTCGAAAGTTGTTCTATAGAGTAGCTGGGCTTACTTACATTGCAACACTATCTACTTAGCTCATGATAACAATGTTTGTATATATTGTTTAATTTTTTTTTTAATGACTATGTTATTGACATATTAATGCTTAAATAGGATTTCTTCAACTTTTCTGAACATATGAATTCAACGAACAAAGATTACTGATCACATTGAAAGTCCTGTTTAGTAATGTAAGTACTGTACTTTCACAATCGATTGCATTTCACTGTGGAGTTCATATTCAGACTATCATTTCCAACCAAATAGCTATGGTTTGCCTATTTTTTTTTTGTTTTATAAACACGCACATCATTATCCACTTATTTCTTTTTCTATTATTATATATTAATCATGCTTCAATTAATTGATCATTTGTTTGTCAAAACAATGATTGTTGTAATTTATTTTTAATTATTAGTTATTAAATGCTACAAATAATGGTGATCATTTATCTTCGATAATATCTTCAAAGTTGCCACAAATTCCTACTATTGGCATTAAGAATTTACGACATTTTGTTTATAAATCTATTCCAATCAGTCAATATATTACCAGTGAATGGACTGTACCATATGCTATTACCTGTGAATCATCTGCAGAATCTTCAATTGATACAGATTCAGAAAGAAAAACCAAACTTCTTAATAATAATATTGTACATAAATTACGTCATAATGTTTTGTTATCATATAAACGACTTCATATGAGATTGCATTCTTCTACAATACCAGCAAAATTTATTTACAAAATCACAAGTACCGAATTATTTTTTGGTTGGGTGAGTTCATTAAGTTTGAACCTTTTTTTTTCTCTTACAAATCAATAAAATTCGAATAGAGCCGATTTCGTGTTATTGATTAACATCATTTGATCTACTTTTTTAAAATGTTTTCTTTGTGCAGTACATGTTATAATACCTCTATTAATGAAGTCTTAATTTAACATGTAGCAGTTAGCAGCGTTATCATTTTTACATCTATAAAAAACCTATCAGTGTAAATTAAGTCATTTAAAAAGAAAAGAAGTATAAAAATAAGGATTGTTGACAGTTAAATACATTTGTCATTTAATAGATAGATAATTCACATTCTTGATATACACAAGTCTGGCGAGTCGATAGAAAAGCCGTAGAATGAGAAAATACGTTTGTCTGAAACAAAGCTAATTTCACATTGGAAATTCAGACTACCAGTGGTTTGTTTTTCATCCTTTAAAAGTCAATCACATGCACTTTTCATTTGACTATTTCTGATTAGCCTATTACATTAGATTAAATTCAACCAGCTGGTTAACACACCTCCGTGATATTCCAAAAATGCAGGATAGTAGGTTAGTGATTATGAGACTTAGATTCCAACCAAATTGTTCCTCAGTCTTTCCCACCTACTTCCGATTAGTAAACTAGGTAACGTACAAATTACAATATTATTATTCATTGTGTTGCAAAAGGTTGAATCTGTAGGTGTAAGTAATGTACTATCACTTACATGTGGGTATTTTAGATGTGATTTAAAATCCTCTTATTTACTCTCTTTTAAACAACCACTCAAATTTTAATATGAATAATTGCCATGTTTAATGTGGCTTATTTATACTAATAGTTCGTAACGTTCACCTAGCAATCTTTCATAATTAAAACTTTCACATGAATATCAAGCACCCAATTTTATCATACGACATTAATTTAGTCAAGCTTTGTAGTCAATATAGTTGATCGATTAAAAAAGTTGTTTAGATTACATGTTCCTTCATCAAATAAAATTTTGTCATTTTATTAAGAAAATAAAATGAAAATTTTCTAATGATAATATGTTAAATATGACAATTCCCTCATCAATCACATTTCCATCCACTGAGTTGTTTTCAAATTAATTCATGCTAATTCATTATTAAGTAAAAATTTGATTTGCTTACTTATTTTGCTTTATCACAATTCAAGTTATATTACTTAAATGTGTGTCGATTAAAAATAAAGTGATTTATTTATATATGTCTATGAATGCATGTACTCTTGATACTAATTTGAATTTCTTTTCTTCCCTATAGAAAACGGATACTTTCGAATTATATGCCACATTAGAACCAATGGTTACAATAACAGAATTAGGTGAAATTCGTAAACAATTATTGAAATGGATTGAATCAAAGAAAACACAATTTTTTATTTTATCCTATCCAACATTTTAATTTTCTTACTTCTGTCATTAATGAACCTTACTTATTTGTTACATTTGAAAACGTATCATGATCAATTTCACTCAATTATAATGATTTTATTTATTGAATTCTTATTTTTAACTAATTTGGAAAATTTAAATTATTTAGAAGTTGGACAAAAATATTTCATTAGCTGTGAGTTCGCAGTTTATAGTTAAGTGAAACTTTCACATTGAATAATTCGATTGTGCAAACTTAACAACAATCGACAAATTATCGAATGTTATATTAAAACTGATCAGTGAACTTTAACAGTGATCTTAAGACTACAATATTTCCACATAAATTTGTTTATCGTTTCACAAAATTTCTATGACAAATCATTGATTAAGATATTTAAAGTTAATTCAACTGTGATAAACAAAATCAAGAAACTATCATTCCTAATGCCTCAACTTATTGATTACTAATCATGTCCGTATTATTTCTCAATCGTTCTATTCTAACACATTTAATTCAGTAATAAAAATTATGTCTTCAAAATATAATTCATATTGTTAAGATTTCATAAATAAGAATTCATCTCCTATCAAAGTCAACAGAATACATGAAAGTGTAGGTATACATTGAACTCTACAAACTCAGATCGTTTGTTAGGCTTTAAAAAAAAGTAATCAAAAACATTTAGACATTGAAAAGATTGTTTTAAAATAGAGTTTCATCAAATTATATAATGATGAAATTATGCAACACTAAAATAATATGGATTAAATCATCTTTATTCTTTCCTAGTATCAATGAATCAACAAACCTCCAATGAAACTAATATACTTCTTAAGTGGGTAACTTGTGCGTACAACACGTTACTATGCATTTTTGGCAACATGTCTTTGGCTTATTATTCTCGATTTCTTGCATTAATATTTCTTGTCACTGTCTACTTTTTTGTAGATCTTTCATTTGGAAAATTGTGTTCTATTATAAAAACGAATTTCTGTTAGAATATTACAAATAAATCATGTCACCTGTAGACTTTCAATATGTGTGCATCCGGTTAACATATCTTACATATAAATTCATAGTTTTTTTTTGTGTGAATAACTACTTATCAATCCTATGAAATACACAGGATAAAGACAATCAATTTTTTACTAACATTAATGTTGTACATAAACACCGCCAGTAGAACCTTCGGGGCTACTGCCGGTCCCAAGCCCGGGTAAAGGAGGAGGGTTGGACATGGGGTTGGCGACCCCATTCCGTCGAAAACTAACTTGCCAAAAAAACGCTAACCAGAAATGTTGTACATAACCAATTATTGTTCGAAACAATCATAAAAATGAGTTGATGTTGGGAAGCTATAGTTGTTTTTAAGGATGAGATTGTTAATTACCAAAAAATCGACCAGTATTATGTTTGATGCTACACCCAAAAATACTATTTTCCATATTTTATAGATTATACGTATAGTTAAATCGCTCCTAAAAATATACGTGTCAATAATATCAGAAACATCAATCTACAATACTATCATCGAAAAACTAACATTTTGTCTATAAGTGAATGAATAACTTTCAAATAGTGATTTATTGTCAGTGGAGATTATTTTTTAGCTGAATCTAAAAAAAGCAATTTAAAGAAATTTACATTCCTAAAGATACCTCTGTACATACTTTCGATCGATATAGTTTTAAGTTGCTTTGTGGTTTTACAAATAACTAAAATTTTAATATAAAACATGCAGGAAACTGAGATAGTAATGTATGATTCTTATGCTGTTCTGTGAATTGAATAATGTTGGAAATGTTATTCAATCTCAACCGATTAGCTTAATAAAACAACCTACAGTTTTTTATTTTGATGTTTGCTAATAATCTTGCCCAGTAGATTTGTATCTTAATTTTATCTTTACTTAGCCAACTTATGTGATTTTTGATGACTGGAATCATTACTAGTCTTTATAAATCCTTGGTCTCTTCCTGCTTCCTCATAAAAGCTCAGTGATTTCAGAAACACTATGGTTCGTTATTTTAGACAGTTCATCTGGTCCGTTTCAACAACAGTAAATAAATTTCAAGGAGATGAACCCAAAATAGTCAAAAATATTTTGATCAACTAGCCATTGAATCGATTTAAAATAGGTTTCAATCGCAAAATACACCGGTTGTAGGAGTTAGATACCTAGATTTGCTGAAGTCCTTGACGTATGAAAACTTACATTTCATTATTATGTTCAGGAAAGTTCATACTTTGATGTTGGACGATTAGGAATAAGTGGGAGGAAATACTGATCATGCGTTTTGTGGTAGATTACACTCATCATCAACCGTAAAACAAATCCCTAGGGAACTACTACTTCCTATGTGGTTCGAACATGAATTACTCAATATCAGAGTCTGATAATTTGCCAGTGAGCTATTTGGACTGAGACTAATCTCCGACGGAATATATTTTCATTAGTTGATCACCAAGAAGTAACCAAAGTCATGTTTGCCTGGTCTTTGTTCCTTATCTCGACCGAAGCTGCTACTTCGACGTGGTGGTCGGGCTTGACTATCGTGATGACCCAACCGAGCTATATTGGCTGAAACTTATGTTCCTGAAGGTTCTACCATGCTAGGCAGGTCGATTGGAGAACGTTGAGACTAAAAGCAGCTACCCAAGGTCTGAGGGCGAAGTCGTACTGCTGACTGCAGAGGGGTGTGACAGCAGTAAGGTGTTTCCCTCGGACAACCAGCATCTGCAGCGATGCTGCCTTCTCACAAGGAAGGAAGGGTTAGAAAAGGTCGGCCCTAAAAATGTCACACCTCCCCTACCTCACGGATTTCCGTCTCCTTGGGTAAGGGTGCCCACTAAGGGCTTTCAAGAGCGGAGCTAACACTCAAAAAACTTCCCATAAAAACGCCGTGCGTGACCGGCCTCTAGCAGTTGTCCCTTGGACTCTGCGGTCACGCACCCAGGTCTTCGAGACTAGCAATAATCACTCTTTTCAGGTTCCTCAAGAAACAACCTTCAACGGTGTGGGCAGCCGGGAAGTGACAACCGCCCTCATACCCGTAACAGCACACGAGACCAAATTGGTCAAACTCAAATCCTTCCTACGCCTCCTAATACCTCTCTTATCTCCACAACTAACTTTACTCACATTCCTTTATCACCCCGTACCGCTAATGCAAACAATCCAAGTTCACGAAGAGTTATTTCTGGTCTCCTGAAACCCCGCTCAAAATTAAATGTTGAGGCATTTAATGTACGGACATTGTGTCAAATAGGGCAACAGGCTTCATTGGCTAGGACTTTAGAATTTCGTGCCATCGATCTATGCTGCGTCCCGAAAACGCGCATACAGGATTCTAGTAAAATTATTAATCTGATTTCACCTCGTCAAGACAAAGAAGAGGCCCGATTTACTCCTCGTGTATCTGGAAGCCCTGATGCTGCTTCCAGGGGTCTCGCTGGTATAGGTATAGCATTGAGTCGTAGAACAGAACTAGCGCTCCTAGACTGGATCCCAGTAAATAGTCGATTGTGCGCCGTCCGACTAAACGGGACAGTAAGGATTCGGAAGGATAGGGACACTCGTCGTTGCCTCTTCGTCATATCAGCCTACGCCACCACTGACTGCAGTGCAGACGATGTAAAAGATGGGTTCTACAGAAAGCTTTCGGAGCTCCTCCAAAAAAAGAAGCGCTCTGATATAGTTATATTGGCTGGTGACTTCAATGCTCGAGTAGGTAGACTAAGTGAAAATGAAAAACACCTGGGTGGATGTTATGGTGTCGCGGCTCACAGAACAGACAATGGCGACCGTCTGTTCCAAGTATGCTCAGATAACCGCCTATTTCTAGCAAACATCAACTTTAGGCATAAGGAAAAACATCTTTTGACCTGGCGACCCTCGAAGTCGTCTCAACGTTGGACACAACTAGATCATATCGCCATCAGCCACCGATGGAGGGGTTCGATAGAGGACTGTCGCTCGTTCTGGAGCACATGTTTGGATTCAGATCATGCTCTAGTGCGAGCACGTATTTGTTTGAGGCTTGCTGGACGTAGGAAAGACACCATAAGGAAGAGTCTTAGGGTTTTACTTAATGATAATCAAACTAAGAAAATATTTCAGGAGGAACTAGAAAAACAGTTTGACGACCGTGCAAGTGATTCCCATCCGGAGTCAGGTTGGAACGATATCAAAAAGGCTGTGGAAACAGCAGTGATATCCGCTAGCAAGGTAAACCATAAGGCTCGGATGAAGCCGTGGATTTCAGTCGCATCCACCGAACTGATGGATGCCCGAAAACGCATCCCACCTGACTCTGAACATAATGAAGTGCGTAGTCAGCTTAGGCGCAGACTGATTAAATGCCTACGTAATGACCGCAAACAGTGGTGGATGGCGTAATCAAAAGCGATGGAAAAGGCAGCGGCGATCGGCAACAGTAGACAACTTTTCTGACTTATCAAAGAAACTGGTATTAGGAATCCTAGTGTGAGTGAGACTATCTCGGAAAATGATGGGACTATTATTTATTCTCAATCCAGGAGAATAGATCGATGGGCAGAACACTTTAGGGATCAGTTCAACTGGCCGCGAGCCACACTTCGGTTGCCCACGATCTCCAGTCATCCTGAATGGCAAATCGAGTTAAGTCCTCCCAGTCTACATGAAGTTGAGAAAGCTATAGGAAATCTAGAGAGAGGTAGAGCAGCAGGTCCTGATAGGCTTACTCCTGAGATGTTTAAGGATGGTGGTCAAGTTTTAACAGTTAGACTGACCGAGATCTTAGGTAGAATCTGGAAACTGGACGTAATCCCATCCGACTGGTCTCAGTCGCTAATTGTCCTAATCTACAAGAAAGGACAAAAGTCCTCTTGTGACAATCACAGTGGAATCAGTCTAACTAATATAGTTTCTAAATTGTTAGCTTCGACTATCCTTAGACGTCCAACTAGAGCTCGTGAAGAGCAGACTAGAGAAAACCAGGCTGGTTTTCGACCTGGACATGGTTGTATAGACCACATCTTCACACTACGACAGGTCCTGGAACACAGACACATATTTCGACGTCCGACAATAGTCATGTTCCTGGACCTAAAAGCGGCATTTGACTCAGTGGAT